TTGTTGCATGAAGCTGATTCGTGGCAGTCGTGTGTACCACTGGCACATTCATCAATATCTGTTGATATAAATTGGCAGGTTGAGAAACATGGCACACGGGAGAGAGACAATGAATCTCATTTTGGAATTGATGTAGGCTACGTATCCAATGAATGATAATTAGCCTTGCTTGACGAAAGACCACACGCGAAAGAATGATTTGCAAACAGTCGACCATGAAAGACCTAAATTCACTATTTAATTAACCTCTTCCTACCCGTGCAAGTATGTCCATCTCCGAAAAAAAACAGTTTTTCAGTAATAACGATACGATCACAGAGTGTTTTTGCGGAAGACGTTCTCGCCACAAGCATGGAAGGAGGCATTACATTCGTTAGCTCTGTCAATTGATTATGCGACGAAAAAAGTATTCAGCCACGAGTGTTGTTCTAGTCAACCTATCATGTAGGTTATCGTAGTTATATTGTAACTGGCGAGCGATGTGATGAACTTCTATTTCAAAGTCATTTTCTTGCATAATATGAAACTTGTTTATTTCAAGTTACTTGTAACTTTTCTCTTTCTGAATTTGGTTTTGACTTTGAACGATTGAAAGGGGTTCTTACCTTTGAATATTTTCACATCCTAATTCGCAAAATTGAGTTGGGCCCATTAAATGCTTTAGCAGTGATGAATCGGAACACTTTTAAAACTAGCTCAGCATTTCACTTAAGGATTTCATGATGGCTTTAATTTAGTTTAATTTATTTTATTCTATTTAAATTTAAATTTGATTTAATTTATTAGCTTTGGCAACAACGCATACGTTATACTACACGGATAAGTTACAATAACATTAACAGGTAGGCAACCACAACAGCGATAGCCAATTACTGTGGTACCAACGGGTAAATAAGAGATTAAAATAGTAAAACGATTACATCAATAATTAATGATTAAAAACAGCATGGAGTTGATGTTGATTTCAGGGTGCGACATGATTTAAATTTCGTACGGATAGTTTTATAAGTCCTGGGATTGTCAATTTCAAAGATCTCTTGAAGTGCAGTCGAATAAAAACACATTAAAGCACGTTTGAAGCCATTTACATTGTTCATACTTAGGTTTAGCTCGTCTAACAACATGTAGCAGCTTTGGTGGCTTTCAAAAGTTTTAGGGCAATCAAGATATTCTTTTACTCAAATCTTGGGTGTTCTTGAGTGAGACATTGGTGGGGATGTGCTTACCCGAACTTAGGGAGCCTTTTGGAAGGGCGACTTTGATATGAAATTAATCTTTGAAGGATTTACCCGTGCATTTGTGTCCATCTCCAGAGAATCCACGAGTACAAGAACATTTAAACGATCCCACGGTGTTTGCACAAATGGCATTGTCCTTGCTACAGCTGTGACTCTTAAGCGCACATTCATCGATGTCTGAAATGAAACAAATAGACTATATCTGTGATCGAGACAACGAACGTTGAGGATGCACGAGGAAAACGGGTAAATAAGAGATTCAACATAACATAGTCTGAACTATATCAGGTGATCATGAAAAGTGCTATTTTTTACAGGCAGATTCGCAAGTTTTTACCCGCTAATACAAAAAGGGATCACGATTCGAATAGAGACGGGGACCTGAGCAATTGCGTCCCTCCCCACATTTCTGTTTGTGGTGGATTCATTTGTGCAGTTGTGACTACTTCTAGGACATTCGTCAATGTCTGTAACAAAATCTGCAGACCATACCAATGATCGTTATTATCAATGGAGACGGGAAAGGTGCGTCTCTAGTATAAAATTGCATGGAAAATTATTGAGCTCTTAACTCAGTTCCAACGGTAGATATGATTTAATCTCTAATGGTTACAAAAGCTGACGTTTCGAGCGTTAGCCCTTCGCTCCGACGAAGGGCTAACGCTCGAAACGTCAGCTTTTGTAATCGTTACGGTGGCCAATTTACCATTTCAACTTTGTTGATATATCCAAATTATCTCGTTACCCCCACCGACGCAGCCCCAAACAGTTTCTTTAGAAACTATCAGCCTTCATTAATTTCTAATGGCTTATCAAAAGGACATTGGCGTGTTCCCACCCCAGATATCAAGAGTTTTTGGTCTCAATCAATATTGTAAAGAAAACATAAGGTGGCGATTTCTATTATCTTTGTTACGGACAGTTTTGTAGGTTTCACATACTGGTAAGGAAAAACTTCATGAAGAAATATCGTTTTTTCCAATTAAAGCCAGGTTTACAAATATACTTGAAACAGCCCTCGCTAGTTTGGCAAATTGAATTTCTATCAGAGCAGTTATGGGCGTTTGTGGCACACTCATTAATGTCTGAAGTCAAATTAAGAAAAATCTGATAAGATTCTTAAATAGTGGGAGGGGCGCGCGCGCGCGCGCGCTGGCTGGGTGGGTGGGCTCTCTGCCAGGTGTAGAAGCGCGCCAAAAATGGCGCAGCTGTGAGGAGGCGTTTCTTTCCCCCTCACTTTTTGCTCCTATTCCCAGTAGGAGTCTCTCGCGCTTCCTACAGCAACACTTTTACAAAATGTCAAAGTCTTATTCTGAACACTTTAGATGATACACTATACATATGGATGGGAGAGTGAAAGGGCTATCCCACCGTCGGCTTACATTCACTCTCTAGCTTAAAACCTCTGAAGGAGTAGATCACAACGATCGCATTTAATGGATAGCTTCTATTTGTGGTAATCACTTTGGGTGGATTATTTAAACAAAGGTTAGCCGTTGTTTAACAAAACTGCGTTCTAACTATCTTAAATTCAGCTGAATCTTTTATCTAAAAATTATTTTTGGGAACAGTGTCAAGAAGGCCGAAAGCCAGCGGTGGATGGACACTTATATCATTAAAACCCTCCTCTCATAGAAAATATGTAAGGCACACTGCTCACCGGCCCTTTAAGTTTTACCTTTTTCACAATCTTGGCCCGTGAATCCAGAAGTGCATAGACATCGATATCGTTTTCTTGTAAATCCTGATTGGCAGGTGGCTTTGTTCTTGCATGGAGATCCAGCACAAAAATTCTTTAACACAAAGGAAGAAATCTGTCATTGCTAGAAAGAGCTTAACTCTGCCTCGAAGACTGCCTCCAATAGCTTAAAAACTTAATAACGTGCAGCTTTCTGAGGTAAAAAGAAGAATTATTATTCACCCTGAATAGCACTCTAATCCTTCGTAGTTAATTCTTAAGTATCTCATCATGTTTCTGTGATACCTATCTTTACCTATCTTTTGCTATCTTTACTGAAAGGAAAACAGGATCTGTTATCAACTGTGTTTGGAAGAAGTGTCCGAACGAAACGAGAAAAATACATTGTTTCTGTTAATGGCGTAGGGCACCAAAGAGTCCTTCGGGCGCCAAGGGGTACTTTTAATTGCAAGTTCAGCTTTGTTTACAAAAGGTCCTTCATGACATTAGCATGTGTCTCAGTAGCTTGAAATATTAATAACAGATAGTGTATAAATAGCTCTAGTCAAATATGAAAATTTCAAGAATACACCCTCAGCTCTCACGAATCGCCCAAAAAGCTCGATTATTATAATTGATACCTAGCGGCTCGTACCTTCGTTCCATGATATACGTAGTTCGCTGCTGTCACTAGATCGTTATCGTATTCTGTGGCCGTTGCGTTGTTCATTTCACAGTTGTGTGTTTCGGCTTCATTTTGTCCAAAATAAAAGTTTATGCTGACACATTTATGGTTCAGGTAACACCGATATTCACACGTGTCCCTGTCAATCACACTGATGTTTGCTATGGTGTGGTTAACAAGACGTTCTCCAACGAGAAACAGATTGGATGGAAATGCAAAGATACGGCATTGATCTAAAAATCAAAAATTATCTTTAACTGAAAAGCGAAATGGATCATCAATACTGTTCCGAGGGTTTCCGATAGTGTTAAGCTCATTATCAAGGGGACAACATGGGACATAGTTATATTATATTATCATTATATCATATCTTATATTATGTTATGATAATGCATCGACTATGATATATTTACAAAAATACCTTATACTCAGAAGCATTCAGTGACTGTATTTCGATCCGGAGAGACCGCTCGAAAATAAATGTTTGTCCTCCGAAAAAGGTACAATATTCTTTCTTATTGTTATATCCGGGTATCCATGGATATTGCAGGCTTGGCTGCTAAGCCGAATGACGTTTTGCATACGTTGGATCTGACTAATTTCGGTGTAAACTCTTCTTGTATATTGGAGTCTGTTCCGTTACAATTAAAGACTTTGCGACACTACACTTATCATTGAAAAATTTTGAATAATTGTCATAGTGACCTCGGCGTATCAATGCAGGAATGTTTATATCGCTATAGCAATGGTTAAATAATTACAGTCCTTTAGTTCTTCGCCACCAGTCACGCGGGAAGTTTTTATGGTACCGTTATTCGTAGTAAGTATCCAAGGTACGTTATTGTAAACATACAGTGAATGCTTAACAATTTCAACAATTTTGTCTCTGTTTTTCTTGCCTATAAAAAAACCTACTCATTTGGCCTCATAAATCGCAGGCTAAATAATGGTGGAGGGCTCTATAAGCGAGTTAACATATATTTTAAAAGCCGGGTTCTTAAATTACAATCCGATGAAATTGAAATTGTACCCAAATAGAAAAGAAATCCTCATTCCATATCGGTCGGGTGCTTTCTCCCGTAAAAAAAGGGGATTCAAAACTTTCTTTCTCTAACTAGTAAATACCCCATTTTTTCCCTGAGTGCGAGGCAACGGTACCATAACTATTGGCTCTTTATTTTATTGAATATCAACGAACCCCAGACATATGTTTATATATCGTACATATTTGAGTGTTCCAAAAGAAGTTCAAACTATAAACCGGCGTCCAGCGAAATACATGATAAGTTAAGAAATACTCAAGATTGTTTGGTTAAATCGAGAAACTTTGCAAACATACGTACAAACATTGGAAAATAACCGGTAATATTTTTGAATGAATAAAAGATAACATCACCTTGAAATGGACGAAGAGTTTTGCAGCCATTTTGTTAGTTAGACCTCACAGATAAGGAGTTTCAGTTTGTTTTCTTCTAAGTTGGATACCTGAAAACTCTAGAGGAGAGAAATAAAGTTTATCATGAAAACTTACCATCTGGGCAGGATAGAACTTGTTCAAGTGGAAGAACCACAGAGACGATAAACAAGTTTAGCGAGACTCTCATGTCCTAAAAGAAAAAGCAAAAAGCATAGATTTAGATGTCTAGAGAGCTGTTAAGCAAAACGTACAGCTTAACAGCATTTTGTTGACTGCAGTGTACAACCAATTTAAGGCTACACTTTCAAGTAACGTGTTAATATGTTTGGATAGGTTAAAGATGTTTCAGGACCTGTCACAAGGACGCATTAACTGATTTGACGTGTACTGAAGTAGTTACAATTTTGTTAGTTTTCTCCTTAGGCACTTCTCTTCATCCATTACTCCCTTCCTTTTTTTTGGTCCGTGACGGCAATAATGAGCAACATGTGAAATGCAAAGGTACAATAACAGCCTTCAAATGTTTGTTTCTTTTGAAGATTTCAAACTATTATTTCCGTAGTATTCACCTAGTTTAATTTCGGCCCAGCTCACACTATTTCGAAGAGTTTTAGAAAAAAAATTTAAAGACATATATGTAGCCGTAAAATGGCCAAATTTTTATCCGTTAGTCGTGAAAGCCATCTTCCCATGGAGACCCTCATTTAATTGTCACATATTTTGTAAAAAGTAAGATTAGCGACAGCGACTTTCTACTTATTGACCCCATCTTCTGAGCCATTTACTTCAAGTACTTCCAACAAGTAAAAAAGTTAAACCACCCGTATTCCACGTTTCTTTCAGTTCGTGGAAGCCTGAACCCGCTACGCTTGCTCCGTATTGCCGGGATTTCGGGCCAATAATCCTCAGTGCGGCCCTCGCGCTCGGTTTGTAAGAGGTTAGTCTTTGCGGCAACTGTTATATGTCTTGCAACATGAAGTCTCTACAACTAAGCCACAAATTTTTTAAGAAATACTGGACCAACGCGCCGTGCCATTTTGGCAGTTCGACTGGACCGGTGCTTTGCAACAGTTTGGAAAACTTCCTCGAAATAATACTATTTAAAAAATAAAACCTGAAACACGGCTAGATCAGAAAATTGTTCTCGAAAATGCTTAGTAATTCTGCCATCAGCCTTGCATGTTTTTCCTTTAGCATGGCTAAATAACTCTTCTACAATGCACACTCTCCATGCATTTCCTAAAGAACAGTGCTGCCCGGAACAGGTGATCTAGTCCGATTGCTAAAAGGGGTAGGTTTCTAAAGAAACTGTGGTGCTGTGTCGATGGGGGTAACAAGGTCATTTGGTTTTATCAAGTGAGTTGAAATTATAAATTGGCCAACGTAAAGAGTAAAAAAAGCTGACGTTTCGAGCGTTAGCCCTTCGTTAGAGCGAATGGTGAAGTTCTTTGCGACCTCGGTACAAGTCACTCCGAATGCATCAGTGCTAAAGAGTGAATTGAAAATTAATAAAGGAAAAATTTAAGACGTTTTAGGGAAATTGGTTCATAGCAACAGTGCTTTTCAGGACAACTCTTACCCGGACGATGAGACTTACGTTAAAAGAGGAGCCTTTCTACAGACCACAACATGCTTTTAACTAATGTACTGAACTATGAAGCAGGGCATTCTTTTTCAAATCTCTTCTTAATGTCACCTGCAGACTTCCTTTGAACAATTTTGGCCAAGACCCACGCAGAATTTCCGTCTTCTCCGAAACTCAAAACATGATCTCCTTGTTACAACGCAAGTAAATGGCAACGAAACTCTTAGTTTTATATAACAAAAAATAAAAATATCTCAGACTTCGATGGCTTTTGGAAATTCCTGTTTCTTACTAATTTTCGTAATAACACAGCTAAAATAGTGTTCTTGTTTCCAGGTCATGACAAGAAGGCCGAACACAGGAAGTTCCTTACGTTATGATCGACAGCTAAATAATTTCCCGTCCAGCCCGACCTAATACAGTCAATAAGTCCAATCAGCACTCTATAATGTGACTAAAGCTTTTCCTCTTTATTCCTCATACTTGTATTTGGCTTCTGGAACGGATTCTTAAAGGGAAGTAAAACTTTTTCCGCCATCTCTCGCGCCATCACGGACGGCCCTCTTACGGGCAATTTGTCAATATGTTTTGTAATAAGAACTCCTANTAAACATGTGTTTTACCTGCTGGTTAATCAGGGTCATAAATTATTAGGAACTTTTCGCCACCGGCGCATTTTTTTTTTTTTTTGGTTGAAAATTTACTAAAGCCTACAGAGAGAGGCTTAGAGTTGAAATTCTATTCAAAGGAATCTTATAGGGCCTGGCGGTTGTCAACCCGAGGCCTAGCCCAAACCACTGTTTTACGCAATCAGTGGGCCTCAACCTTTCTCTATAAGAGGGTTGATTTAATTAAATAAGCGTCCCTCTACTGTTAGCTTTAGCAACCCTGTTTCCGCTGTTCACAAAAATAAATGTTCAGATAAACCGTTCAGCTAAACTGAGTATTGATTACGACGCAGTTTTGTTGAACGACGGCTAAACTTTGTTTAAACAACCTGACCTATAGCATTTCCAAGGCGTGCATGGTACTTTTTGAGACTTTACATAACTAATGAACACAATCCTTGCTCCAAATATAATTTCTAAGATGAATATGACTTTACCCCACGTATTTTCCGTTAAATTTATGTTTACAAACGACTGTAATCATTTACAGACTCAATTTGCTCAAACGGTAGAAAATAAGTTACCATTTGACCACAGCGAGGTTTCAGCCACAAGAATAAAGTTCAAATTTTGACAACTCAGAAATTAAAGTGAAATTTTGAAACTGATGTAAAAGCACCAGGAACGAAATTGTAAGACTTACCGCAAAAACTGACGAAATCTCCAAATAGGATCGGATCGAAAGATTTTCAGACAATAGGTATTTCAAAGATACTTTTCGACACTCCCAACAACGCTTAAAAAAAATTGCCAAAAAAGCTATACCTGCAGTTAGGCCTTATACTGGCGTTAACACTAATAGGAATACTGAAGGTATTTTACCAATGTTATCAACTTACCTGAGTGAGTATGAGAGCTTTCTTACAATTTTCAAGATCGGTGTTTTAGGCCGTTTGAAACTTAGTCTGAAACGATATCGCACTCAGTAGTGTAGCACGATGCCGAAGTTTGTAAACCTCCTTTTTAATTCCACCTGCAAAGTTCCTTTGAACATTTTTGGCTAAAGTGCATGCAGCATTAGCCTTTGGTCAGAGCGAATGGAGGAATTGTGGGTTGTGTGTGAGTTTTTATGCAGAGAAAATGGAGTTACGCTATTGGTGGGAATATGGTAGCGAGAGAAACAAGAATAAATTATTTGAATGATAAGCTTTCGTTGATACCATGGGGATTAAGAGCGCCGATTTAAAAGATACATTTTTATTCTAGAGTTTTGCGGCTTTCCGAACTGCCTAGATGTAAGGAAAAGCCGCAGGCTGCAGACTCTTTACGGTAGCTAATTTGCATAATTAACTCAGTAATAGGCTAGTTACGAATTGATGGTGTGAGAAAGTCTGGTAACTAATTAAGGGCACCAAGTCGAGGATGAGGGGAATAAGCGCTTAAGGAAAGACCGCAGACTGCAGACTCTTTACGGTGGCCATTTTACATAATTAACTCAGTTAGTAATTAACTCAGTTAATATAACCAAAATATCTTGCTATACTCCCCCCATCGACGCAGTAGCACAGTTTGTTTAGAAACTTACAGCCTTTAATCTTCTGTCTTTTAATCGAAGTTGGGTTGAGGATGGAGGATGGGGATTTCTTGATCACCTTTTACGGCATTGCAGTTTCCTCGTCATTCCGTGGTCATCGTTGGGGAGACAAGTTACTCTGTATTGTCGTAACTAGCAATAGTCATAATAAGTCTATTACGTAATCAAAGTGATTACTACGCGTGTACGCTTTTAATGCAACAAAATGTAAAGGGAACGTTTTTCAAAGGGGTTTCCAATGCAAAATGCTTGCATTCGTTAATAAGAAAATGTTAGAAACGAACAATACCTTTCCTTCTGAATTCTGTTAGGTTGGCAAGAACGTCCGTCGCCATTATCAATGTTCGCAGAAGCTTTAAACTCTTTAAAACACGCTAAAAAGACCATTTTAGAATGGAAGAAATAAATAGGGGAGTGTAAGGTGATTAATCAAAGGGGAGCGTCAAAGAGAAATTTTTTGGCCAAAAGGAAAGTGCCACAGCTTTTAAATGTTGTTCCGTTGCCTGAAAATGCAAACTACTCGTGGCTTTTTGTAAAAGAAAAGTAATCTTCACCAGTGGAAAAATAAGTAAAGTGACGATTAGCTTCTGTACTTAAGAAATGATTTGTAAAGTGATAATCATATTTCATTGAGGTGACGCTATTACGAGATAACTTTTAGTAACTTCCTGTTGTGAAAAACTTGTACAAATACTGTTGTTGTCATTGTGATTCTTAGTGTAGAATTTTTAGCATTCTCTGCATTTATTGCAGTTCATTAGCGTTCCTTCGGGAATACGTTTTGTCTTTCTTTCCCGCGTTCGGTATAATTTACATGTTGTTAATATTCTAGCTTTTTAGTTTCATCATTGATTTCATCGAGAGAATATCTTGTCTTAAGAGAACATCCGGTTTAGAGTTGCCTTTTCGCGGCCTACAGCGCCGATACAATGTAAGTTGG